GCGGATTTAACACGAACCACTTTTATAGAAAAAGTACAGAATAAATCCATTTATTGTTTAATACGATAAAACATACAATCGGTTGATTAAAAGTTCATGCATCGTTATCCAAAGAATAATTTGATTCGCAATCAGATGATTCAACTTTGAAATCGCTGGAGCTTCCTGTACTTGCTGGTATACGTGGCGCAACTAACAATAAAACTGCTTGTGGAAGCAATGACTTTGAGTTTTTTCGAGGTAATTCGCGCAAACTCGAAATAAACGGATCGGATATTAATAATAGGAGTAAAATAATGTCTTCCATTGTTTTCACTCGGGAATTTTTCTTGCAGAATCTTCTCGAAACTTTTTAATGTATTTATTACTAGACTCTTGAGCGTCTTCGGACATCTGCCCTATCGGCAATACCGATGAATTTATCACTTCTGTACCACGAATCAATATCTTATGTACCGAAGTTGGTACGCGGAATGACGGATATAACTGCGCAAAGTAACGAGCTGTCTGTAAGGCATAATCTTGAAATTCTATGAAGTCGATTTCGTGGCCACACAAAATTGTCTGCAATATGACACGGAAACGCTTAATCGAGTCCTCATCAACCCCAGTAATAGCAGCAGAACTGCTTGAGTTTTCGAAAAATCGTCGANCAGAGCAACCGCTATTAACGAACGCACCTAATATAAACAAAAACACGCGCAGTGCAAGTCAAAACACGTTGCGTTACTAACACAAAGCGTCAACTATCGGTCCAAGGTCACACGCACCGGCGCTGACTGAGTACGAAAGTTGAGATCCGTATCCGTATTCACGGATCTAGACACTAATGATCCGTATCTGTATCCGTATCCGCGGATATACATTTTTAACGATCTGGCACATAACTAATTATAATTAATAATATGAAAGTTATTCCTATAATAAAATTTCATAACTTAGGAAAGTTGGGCAACCCGTTGCTAGATTTTTATTCCATTGCGAATTATCCTTTTTGCAGCTCATTTCATATTCTTACTGACTCTGAAATCCGGGCTCTAAGAGAGCTGTACTCAAACCCAGTGCTCTTTAAAAAATTGTCAATATGCTTATATGGTAATTGAATATATTGTACTGTTTTTACTGAGCAACTGTTGGTACCACGTACAGTACCGGCTACTGATACTTAGAGGCAATTGTCAACATTTTGATTTTTTCCAAGTCTTGTCTTTTTTCGAGTAAGCCCAGCATTTTGGTCAAGCTTATCAACAAATGATTTCAGTTTTGTCTCCTCTGCCATCCAACCCCTTAAGCCTGGACTCCACATTACCGGAATCCGCGACGTAATCGTAAAACTGAAAGCCAAACTGACGAAAGTTTCAGTTTTGTAACGTTCAGTTGGACAGAAACAAGACTGAAAGCAGAGTTAAAAATTATTTAACTTTTCGGTTTTCGTCCCGCGCTTCTGTCTTACTGCAACCAATAAAAACGCAAGGATTTGTGACGCGTAGTTACGTGCATTAGTCACGTGCAGTTTGATTGTCGTAATGGCAGAAAGTGTAGCGAAAACGATGAGGAAACAAATAGATTTGGAATTCTTCATCGAAGAAGTTAGAAAATACACATGTCTGTACGACAAAAAATGTAAATAATTCAAAGATTATTTACAATTTCATTGTTAATAAATGCAGAGAAAGCATGGCAAAATCCGTAGCGTCGTCCGTGTTTGACTACGACAATTACAGAACTGACCAAAAGATGGGGCATTTCTAGTGGAGTCGAGTTAAAACGAAAACATAACTGAAACGAAAACTCTATATGTTTCAGTTCTGTTTCTGAGTTTCTGTTTTCAGGTAATGTGGAGTCCAGGCTTTATTGAAAAGTCTTCTTAATGTTCTCAAAAGTGGAAAATAAAGAATCACTTTATTTGATTCTTTATTGAAATATAAACGCTAACAACTGCGTAATATATTCGATATAGGATTGAATGAAATAAATAATAAATAATTTACATATACTCTACAAAACATTACCAATTAATAATGCATAGTACATGAAAAATACAGTTAAAAACATTAAATAAAATTTCACATATGACATTTTTCACATTTCACTTACGAGTATAAAATATGATTTTCCTGCCAGTATAAAAAACGGATTCAAGTTATTTACTCAATAATTCAATTTCAAATTACTAATCACATTTCTGATTTTCAATACATGATTTATTGTTTTTTATATCACTTAACACGCGGTCTAATTGGACTGCAATTTTAAAAAATTATAGGTCTCGAGTAGTTATAAATTCCTAGTAATTTATTATAGTATCTCGAGAACGGAGCTACATAGATGAAAGAAGAGACCAAATACAGAAACATTAGGGGCAGAAAGTCCCGATTAACTATATATAAACGTCGTATGCAAACCGAAAGTCATGTTATTCTGATCATATTTTGACATTGTATTATAAAAATGCACACATACAAAATAGTTATAGCTTAAATTTATTTATGATAGAATCATACTTATATCTTCAAAAGGCAATTTCACTTACATTATAAAAATTTAAGATAAGTCAGTTTCCTTTATTCAACTTTTACCTCCAGTACAGTTAAGGTGCGACTAGCAGACGCGAGCGAGCGAGAATATGTGGCGAGAAGAGGCGAGACTCTGCTGATATCAAACCCAGTCAGATATGTGCCAGAACCAGAAATCCACTCACGCCACACAGTGGGGCCAAATTCCAAAAAGCTGGCCAAAAGTCAAAAGCGTTATCAATTTGGCTGAAAGTCAGTACTCGAGGGTTTTCGGGATCTCTGATTACGAATCCAAAGTCAAAATTTGAAATAAAAACAAAATGGCGGATTTAACACGAACCACTTTTATAGAAAAAGTACAGAATAAATCCATTTATTGTTTAATACGATAAAACATACAATCGGTTGATTAAAAGTTCATGCATCGTTATCCAAAGAATAATTTGATTCGCAATCAGATGATTCAACTTTGAAATCGCTGGAGCTTCCCGTACTCGCTGATATACGTGGCGCAACTAACAATAAAACTGCTTCTGGAAGCAATGACTTTGAGTTTTTTCGAGGTAATTCGCGCAAACTCGAAATAAACGGATCGGATATTAATAATAGGAGTAAAATAATGTCTTCCATTGTTTTCACTCGGGAATTTTTCTTGCAGAATCTTCTCGAAACTTTTTAATGTATTTATTACTAGACTCTTGAGCGTCTTCGGACATCTGCCCTATCGGCAATACCGATGAACTTATCACTTCTGTACCACGAATCAATATCTTATGTACTGAAGTTGGTACGCGGAATCACGAATATAACTGCGCAAAGTAATGAGCTGTCTGTAAGGCATAATCTTGAAATTCTATGAAGTCGATTTCGTGGCCACACAAAATTGTCTGCAATATGACACGGAAACGCTTAATCGAGTCCTCATCAACCCCAGTAATAGCAGCAGAACTGCTTGAGTTTTCGAAAAATCGTCGAAAAAGTATTCCCATTATTCTAGCTACCGAAACCAGGCTTTGGTTGATCGACTATTAGACCCAATACTATACGGAAACCCCTCTGTATATTCGTTTTTTAGGGTCTTATTTGTTTATTTTCTTTATCACTATGCGCTTGCCACAGTTTGATTTCAAGCTTATATGCTACACGCTAACAACATTCAAAACACACAGACAAATTCGAGAAAAAGAGCAAAACATTCCGCGTCATTAATGTACAAAATTCAGAAAACTGTGTTTTACATTGCAAGAACTCGCGCCAATGACACAATTGCAGCTAGTTTTAATTTTTTTCATTCAATAATAGTTTCATCTACGACACGCGATCGGTCCAGTCGCAGAACTCTACAGAATTTATGAACTTTTCTCTACGTGTTTAAAATTTTCTGTTGTAATATTCCGTTCATTTTCGTACAAATCATTCGTTTACTGTTATCACATAAAGTATTATTATCAATTTTGTGTTACATAATAATAATCTACTTACTTGCAGCTGCAGATTCCATTTTTTAAATTTAAATTTGATTGGTTTTTAGAGATTTGACACCCTCTTGAATATAGCGTAGAAATATTTGCTTACTGCATGACGCGTCTAGCTCGATTGAGGGTCCTCTTTCGACTGAACTACAATAACAGGTATAAGGGATAGGGGGCGCTAAAATCTAGAATTCGACCTTCGGACTCTTATCCAACCTAACCCACAACTAGAAATTACTGGAACTTAAACTCTATTTTTTTACTTTTGGCCAGCTTTTTGGGATTTGGCCCCACTGTGCGCCAGCGAGATTTCTCGCTTCTCTCTTGTGCATGTTTTCTTTGCGGGAACTATATCGCTCGCAACCTCTCGCTCTCTCCTAAATTCGCGTCTGCATAGTCGCATCCTTAACCTGAGACAAATCCAGACAGATCGAAAAATCCCAGGAATTTTTCGTAGTCCGTTCGGATAGCGGGCCCCATTCCTCATCATTATTTAATCGCTCCAAATGGGCCTAGCGAAATCCATAATGGGTTTACTAAAAAAAAAAGTCATATTAGTGCACACAGGGCGGAAAATTAAAAGATAAGACCCAATACAGTAACGATCCTATTGATCTTCCATTGCAGATTATTTGTCTCTTTTTTCGACGTTTTTATATTCAATATTTTTGAAGGGATTTATTTCATGTTGTTTTATGTATTTTCCTAATAAAATTTATATATAATGGCCTAGCCTATAATAAAAGGCCAATACTATCGTTATTGTGTTGTTTATGGAATTAAAAATGAATAGAGGCAACTAAATTTATATATATATTTATATTAAATTTTTAGCAATGCAAGGATTACACCGTTTCGGATTATAAAACTACAACGATGATATTTTGTAAGATCAACAGAAAAAGTTTTGCATAATACTGTATTCGCAACATTAATATACTTTTAATATTAACAATACATATAAATTATTTCATATAAATCGAAATAAAGATATTAATTTGAATTTAAATACCTTTTATTTCGGGTGAATCCATTGCGAAAATGCAGCTAAAGTTTATCTTCTTTCCAAGATTATTTAATATTTAAAATGAGTAGTTTAACGTTAAATCACTAAAGTTAAGCAAAATATGTGATGATGTAAATCCTTATTGATTGAAACTTATTTGTGTCATCAAATCCTGTTATTTTAAAAAAATAAACTGTCAGCAAATATTCTTATTTTAACTCCGCACACTATTTATTTCATACTATTATTAAATTTTTTATAACATATTGATGTATAATTTTAAAACTGATTAAGTCATTTCATAATAGAAACTTAAAACTGAAATTTTCAATAAATTTGGATTTCTGCATAATTATAATCGCGATGACAAACTCGAAACAATCAAATGGCCGAGCGATTAAGGCAGGGGTGGCCAACAGTTTTTGCCCCCGGGCCGAATTGGAAAGAAAACTTTTATCACGGGCCGAACCAGAGGCTGCCCTAAGTAAGATTTTGAGGTGGTGCGAGATCTCATTGTGGTATCATCCCGTAGAAACTAAATTGTACATAGAGATTACAGATACATTTTGCACATTATCGACATTCGCTGTGCTTAAGACATTGGTAATGGAGCGTTAACTCTAAACGCACAGTGAGTTCTTGACCTTTTTTTTATGGCGTGAGAATTCTTCGTCAAGCTATTCCGACTTGAGTAGCTGATATTGAAAGATTAATTGCGGGTCGCATAAATTTATTAGACGGGCCGTATGTTGGCCATGCCTGGATTAATTAAGGCGTCAGCCTGCCGCTCTGGAGATCCAGAAACGGATCTGAACGGGTCGAAAAAGCGTAGGAACTTTTCGGGAATGATTCAACGCGTTTTCATTTTGTTTTTTTATACCCTATAGATCTTTTTAATAATACACATCGTGGGCTCAGTCAGGTCCTTAATGAGAAAGACTTGGTAATGAAGGACACGGCAGACCTCCCATGAAAAATTCTTGAGCGAGATTTAGTCTCGGGTTCTGAAAGGTAGGTTTAATCGTCTCGAGCATCTTGATAAATTAGGCCTTCTTTTTTTAACTCTTTCCGCCCTGTGGGTACTAAGAGGCTTCTTACAGCAAGACCATTATGTGTTCGGCTAGGCCCACAATGGTCGTTATGGATTTGGTCGGGTGGTGAGGGATGGGGGCTCTGACATATCCAGACGGATCACCTTCCCAAAAATTCCTGGGAATTTTTCGACACATTCGGATTCGATCCCAGGTCCCTCAGAGAGGTGGACTGCCATTTTGACCACTCGGCCATCCGACTATTGATAACTTAGGCTAATAACATTTAGATCAATTTATTAACGTTCTAATACATTAATTATTCCTTTGTTAATATTAACTAACATATAATTTTAATTATTATTATGAAATGGAATTCATACATAAATTCAAAGACCACAGACTAAGATAATAATTTTAATTGTTGTTAACACTATTTTATTACAAAAACTAGAATTTTTTCATTTCATCACATGAATACAATCAATTATTTTTACATATTATAATGTCACTTTATGCACAAATAAGCACTTTTTTTCTTTTCTTAGAAAAAGTAATTAAAAAAGATAATCATGAGTGGTATTTATAAAATTAATTTGTATAAATCGTGATATTTATTTAATATAAAATAAATCAAAATTTAAAAATATTTTTTCAAGTAATTGTTTACATTAATATTTTTAAAAAATTGAAATCAAGGAAATGGAACTTTAAAATTTTCAAAAACAATTATTACATAAATATACACGAGTATCGAAAATAATAATTTTATGATTTCAAAATTACAGAAACATTTACTGTTGTATAGAAAATTTTATTATGATTTAAAGTTTAATCATTGATAAATGTTTATTCACGTTTGTTACTAGGGTAGGGACATCACACAAATTTGTTATAGCGCGATAGAATTGAAGCGAATCTGAAAAAGAAAAACAGAAGTTCTTGGACCTGACGGCCGCGAAACTTACACTTACCTCCACGGAGAGGCGATCCTTCCACTTGCAGATATGAAGAGATGATCCAAGAACAAAGCATTCGGTATCGATTGCTTTGTTCTTATGTTTTATTCGTTTTCCGCGCCTATTTTCCGTTAGGTGTGCACAATACTCCCTGTAAATTTCGTTAGGCGCGGTCAATCGCGTTAGGGAGCTTAGACATTGTCATTTTGATCACACTGTGTCTCGAAAACGAAGTCATAGACTCCCATTTTTTTGTGGTTTCTGGAAAATAGCAAAGTTTTATCAAAATCGACCGATTCAAATTTGAGAAAAATAACTGTAAACCACATAGAAGGGCTTCGCCTCAATTAAAGGCACTCGTGAAAATATTTTCAAACAACAAAAATTGATAGTTAACGAATAGTGTTGCCACCAGGCCGGTTTTCACCCGGACAAGCCGGTTTTCATATTCATGGTCCGGATTAATTATTAGTTTGTCCGGTTTTCGTAGAGATTGTGAAATTATGATAAATAAATTTATAAAAATATTTGCGAGTATTTTATTTTAACGGTTAAAGACTGACTTCACACTCCCACCCAAACTTTCTTATCCCCATCTTATCCCTAGGCTAAGAGTGACAGAAAATATACTTTTAAAATTCTAACTTGCAAATATCTCTGACAAATATTAGGTTTGTTCCAACACAAGACCTAATTCGTTTAAAACGGGCATGCGCATTGTTCAGTTCTTGGCCGTAAAATGACATTGACCTCGTACGGATTCAAATTTAAACCAGTTAGGGACAGCTTTGCCACTCCTAGTACATTTGTACTTTTCGGGTACATTTTGCCTTTTCGAGTTCATTAAAAGTACACTTAGATTTTTAGTACATTTTGAGTACATTATAATATTTCAGTACCATTTATGGTACAAAATAATATTTCATGCCTTAACGAAAAAATTAGTTTAATAAAGTCTCACTAGTGTCACAGCTTGCTAATTTGATTTACCCAATCAAACATACACATGGCGTATGTCAGTCGACATCAACAACATACAGATTGGGTGCGTTTTTCGCTAGCTTCCAAGCTCGCCGAGCTGACACCTAGCGCAGCCTGACGTCATACTAGCACGCTCGTAAAAGTATACACAGTAATGGATGCCGCCATCTTTGAACAAACTCCAAGCTCGTTGTAAATTTTTCGAGCAAGCCGAGCTCTCTAGGAATGCTAGCAATGACGTCCCGGGTGTGCGAAAAGTAAACGTCGGGCTCATTGATAGCTAACAAAAAGTATACAGGCACGTGCAAATGTTATGACTCAGTGATCCTCTTTCGCACGTTTTAGTCATCTACACATTCTCACGACGACCTTGACAAAATTTTTCACGCCAAGTGGTCCAAAGAATTTAATTCTGTCAAACAAAAATAATGGACAGATAAGGAAATCAATGATTTTAAACTTTTGTCATCAATAATATCAAAATATCCGTTAAGTCAGAGTCTAATTATTACACAAAATAGTTTTGAAATTGTACAAGTATAAATAATATAAATACTTTTATATTATTTTCTACCACTGTAATTTAATTCTTAATTATGAACTTCAATTTTAGTAATCTTGGTAAAAGAAATAACTTTTTTTAATTTAAATCTGTCAGCGCATATTTAATTTATAATTTTTTTATATCCTTCACTATATTTTTAAAAAATCAACTTTTAATGCTATATTTAACAAAAAACCATAGAAACTATTGTCATAAAATATTTTTATGAAATATTTAATTTTAAAGTATTCATATTTAACAAAGTATGAATTTGAATATGAATCTACCATCATACTCGATTTTTGTGAAATAAACAGAAAAATTGAGTATGATGGTATAGTAATATCAAAAGTAACCAACCATAGAAATAGTACATTTTGAAGGAAAATAGTACATTTTTTGAAGGAGCTTCAGTACGTTTAGAAATTTCATTGTGGCAACTCTGGTTAGGGACTTGTGTTGGAACAAACCTATTGTAAAGCGAATGTGACAGTTTCAGTTTACAAGTTCATAGTTTCTATTTTAATTATTTAATATGACAACTCAAGAAATTAAAAACACCAAAAAAGGAAGCGAACTTGTAAATTTTAATAAAGATTGGCTGACACAAAATGAATTTCAAAAATGGTTACGACCTGTTTGAAACATGTTGCCACCTTTTCAAAATTGCTGACCCGGACAGGTCATCAATTTTGAAAAGGTGGCAACACTATCCACGAATGACTTAGTGGATAAAACCACTGAACACTATTACAGTGGAACCTCGGTATACGACCTTAATCCGTTTCCGATGTTTGGACTTACTGTATACTGAATTGGACGTATACCAAACCAACCTTTCCCATAAGAAGTAAATTAAAAATGATTAATCCGTTCTCGTGTAAAAAAAAAAATGGCTGGCTTTAAACACCTCGCTTTCCTGGCTAGTTCCTGCTTGATTTTTCGTGAGATCAGCGTGTATCTTTTTAGCTTTCTCGCAAATAATTGCTTCCGATACGCTGTCTCCAGCACTGTTTTTCAGTTATCCAAAGCAAAAGCAATTTCTCGACATGATCTAATGTCTTCGATCTCTGTTTAGAAATTGATTTAACCCCTTTCGCAACGTTAGCAGATTTAATAATGTCTTTATTTTTCGCGATTGTCCATATCGTCGTTCTCGGAATACGGTAAACAACAGTTAAAATCTCGAACACGCGTGCCACCTTCGTATTTCTCAACAATCTCTTTCATCAGTTCCATTGTAATTCTAGTCATTTTTTTAGTTTTCTGTCGCTTTTCATTTACCTTTTTGGGATTCGTGATTAATAAAAATAATAAAATTTTACTTACGAATTAAAATCAGAAGAAATTAAACAAAGTTATAAACCGTTGCACCACGAACGTCTAATTCTGGTCTAGTACACCGATTGTGCTACTTGTTCATTGATGACGCGTATAATTGAATTATGTCGTATACCGAACAAAAGTCGTATACCGAGCAAAATTTGTTTCGTCCAAACAGGACGTATTCCGAATTGGACGTATTCTA